TTAAAAAAATAAAGAAGTGAGTCTTGAAACAGTGGTCAAATTTAATATAAAGAAAAGAGGGTAAAATTGGGAAAAAGAAAACTATTTTTCCACAGTATAATAATACCAATATACTACTTCATGTAGCTATGGCAAGGATTGAGTGGGAAAATAAGTGTATAGCACATTGCAGTAGAGTAGCTGGTAGGTGATAAACACAGACATATTATTATTATCATGGAAGAGGTTATAAAATTTGCACTTAAGTAGTGATAGTAGGGATGGAGAAGACAGGAATGGGCATAAAAGACAATAAGTAAAACTTGGGGAACATGGGGAATAAATCAAAGATAAACTTGGAGGTTTTGAGCCAGTGATTGGCAATTTGTTGGTGCTACCAGTAGAAAGTGGGAAGTCAGGAGAAGCAACTTCTAAGGACAGCTGCTGTTGGGTTAGTATGAGGAGTTACATAAAATGTGGAATATTGTGTTGGATAAAATGTGCCAGTGGCTGGAAACAAGACACAGGGGCTGGAGAGACAAAGGCACAGACTACTAAGAAACTGTACTCCTTGAAGAACGAGGACAAACCACTGAGGGAGACTGAAAATGGGTAATGGAGAAAGGAAAAACTGGAAAGGGAAAAAGAATGTTAAAGAGGAAATGGAGAGAGGATCAAGGAGAGCTGGTGTAATCTGAAGAGTTCAGGGTGCAAGACAAAAGAGGAAAGTTCTAGGAGCTAATGGTCAACATATATAATGATGGGAAGATATCAAGATTAAGCCATAATTTGGGGAATGAGGAGTTTGTCAGAAGAAGGTGAAGAAAAGCGGTTTACATGACTGAATGAGTGACAAAGAAATAGAGGCAGATAATTATGCTAAAATTTCAACAGTTTACTGAAGGCAAGATGAAGAGAAAGAATAACGGGGAGGAGAACTGGGGACTGGACAAGTGATACGCTTCTTAGAACAGGATTTGTGGAGGGAGAGGATGCTGTGTGGAAGCAACAGATTTCATATAAAGAGCAAGAGTCAAGGTCAATTTAGGAAGGCAGGGTTGGCTCCTGATCACTGTGCAGGAGGGAAGGGGGATTTTTTTTTTTTTAACTCTGAAAGTGGTGACAAGAAAGATGAGGAAACAAGTGGAGAGATCAGGGTGCAAAGGAAGAATATTGTCCATGCTCACGCTGCCTACTTAATTCTCTCAGAACTTTGAGGTCCTCTCCTCTTAAGTGACTTGAAATTATCACACCGAAACCAAGGCAAGATTAGTTTTCAGTCCCACTTCCAGATCCTGTCACTACATGACCCAGTGTTTCTGTTTTGTGTTTTTTGTGGTTTTTTGGTACCAGGGATCAAACAAGGGATCTTGCGTTTGCTAGGCAGCACCACTGAGCCAAATCCCCGGCCCGACCCAGTGTTTCTGTACACAACAAGGGGAGACCTATATGTCAATCCAAGTATCAAGGCACTAAGTGTTCCATGGATGGTTCCAAATTATATCTATGATAAAACAAAGCTGTTCTTTTCATAGACATTGCCCTGTATATCCTATCGGAACACCCTGGATCCTGGCATTAGCCTTCACCACTCTTTAATATTGTTCTTTTAATCCATCTACATACACATGTGATTGTTTTTTTCCTATTTAAAGGTGTTGCTCTACAGTCTCTAGGGATTTAAATATGGACCTAAATCCTTATTATCCTCAGACTCCTTCTTGGGGCCTTTTCCAGCCTCAAGGCCCTTTCCATATCTGATCTTTGGGAGTTGACTTGCCCTACAACTTAGTAGGCTGAAAGTGGAGCCTTTTCTTTTTTCCTTTAAGGACCCCTGTCCAAAGTTGGGTTCAGAGTATCCATTAAAAAAAACAAATGAATAACTAAACCTGAACCAGTCTTATTAAAGAAAGCGAGTAGAACGTCTCCCTAAGAAGGGCATGTCTATTTTGTACATTAAAATGAGTGGAGAAATCTACCTTCACCCTCACCGGCAGCCAGGACCACCTGAGTTTCTACAACAGCCCCCTGCCACTTTGCTTCCTTCTCACCTTATATCCCAGCTTTAGCCAGCTCCAGTCAGCATCAGCACACTCCTGAACATGCCAATCTGACCCTTCACTTCAGCATTAAAACTTTCCCCAAACCCCACTGAAAACTCGGGGGAAATCTTTAGCATAGAGCACAAGCCCTGTAAGGTTTGGCCCTGTGACCTCTCCGAACTAATCTCCCTGCCCTTTACTCTGTCTGTACTTTTTGAAAGAGTCCTTCTTATTTTAGGCTTCCTCGTGTGGATCTTTTCACTCTAATACTTTCTTGCCTTCCCTCCCCTCCTTTCTCTGCTTTCACCAAAGCTAAGTCCTACTTATCCTTTCTGGGCTTGGCTGTCCCCCATGAATCCCCCTTAAAGCCCTATAGAGAGGTGTTCCTTCTGTGTGCTTTTGTTGACCTGTGATTTACCTTTCACTGGCTGAAGTCATGTTATATGAGAATTACCTGTTCACTGGTTGCTTATGCCTGCAGGAATGTATGTTTATGAGAAAAGGGACTGTTCTCTTCTACTACCACAAGCCTGGCAGTGTGGGTGGTTATTGAACATTTAAATAAATGGTTCAGTGAATAGTTTGAAGAGAAGTCAAGATGTGTGGCATATTCCCCAAATCCAGATTGTGGGCAATGCCTGGATCATGCAGGCCAGGGAACAATGACCACTGTCACTGCCCACAGACAATACCTGTAACTCTGCCCAGACTGTGCCAGGAGCCACCTTGCACAGGAGCAGTGAAGGGCTGGGGCAAGTGTGACAAGGCCCTAACCCACTGAGGCTTACAGGGGAAGAGAATTCTTATAACAGGGTCATTGTGATAACCCTCTTCTCCTTTTTCTGCCCAGCAGGTTAGGGACCATAGTGTGAAGTGAAGATCAGAGGAGCAGGAGCAGAGAGAGGAAACTATAACTTGTCCCTTCAATGTCACTCATTCAACTACATTTACTGAGTGCCTGCTCTATGCTGGGCTCAGTCCTGGGGATAGAATGTGGAGGCATCTTTCCTCCCTTTGAGGAGATTACTGTCTAGAGCTGCGGACAGCATTACTCAATCACAGAAGTTATTACGCATCTTTACATTACTTCAAAGTGATAGATTCAGGTTAGGGGTGTAAGAAACAAGACATAGGAAATGGCCTAGTCAGAGAAAGTGTGGCAGCTTCCTTCCGGGAGAAGGAAGGAAGGAAGGAGCTGGGAGCTGGAGGGCAAACAGAAGCACATCAGGGGTGTGGGCAGAACAATAAGCTGTCCAGGTAGAGAAAATGTCACGAATGGCCTCCCCATCTTCATCAAGCCAAAGAAAGAACCACTGTAACCCGGTTCCGTTTGGTAGTTTTCATCTGTGGTTTCTCAGGCAAGCATCTGTATTTGATTTAAAGGAAGAGGAGACTAGGCAGTGGGCTTGTGTGAAGACACTGCTGAGGGCTATTGCAGATTGCAATGAGGGGAGGCAGGTGTTGGCCCACATCTAGTCATCACAAGCTCTGACCAGCAGCCTTTCTCATTTGGACAGTTGCAAGGTATGAGGGGTCGCTTCCTCTTAAAGTTGGATCCAGCAAAGCCGGGCTGGCCAACGAACGGAAGGGCCAGTGGCAAGCCAAGCACCCAGACGCTGTGAACTGATCCCCCTCTTTCAGCAAGAGCATGGCGCAGCAGCTATATTTGAAAACCGAGGTAAACAAGAGCTCAGTGCAAGTGGATGGGGCACAACAGCTGTGGAAGATTAATCACACGCGGCTGCATGTCACCAGGTCGCAGAGGCCAGAGGCTTCCCTTTTGGTGCCCCAGCAAAAAGCTGGATGTGTTCCTATCACATACTCACCCCCCCCACACACACACACACTTAGGGGTTTCTTGACCACCCAGGAGCTAGGCACCTGGCTCCCAGCTGCAGCCTGTGTTTCTGATAAATTGCACCCAATTTCAATGCTTTTGCCTAGGAACCCTAGCACCAAACGTTCAGGGTTTTGAATCGCTGGGGGGGGGGGGCTAAATTTATGGCACTGCATTAAAGGCGTTTGTTCTACTTTAACCTCTCCCCTTCCGTAGTGAAAATAAAATAAACTGAATAAAGACGAAAAACTGTACAGACACACACACACACACACACACACACACACACACACACACACAACAAATGGCTTTCCTTATTTCCCCCAGTGGCTCAGGTCCTCAGGGCAGGTCAGCCAGGGCCTGTAGAAGCAGCGCTGGCCTCTATATGAGGGCCTGTGGCTATGTGTGTGCGTGTGCGTGTGTCTGTGTTTGCGGGGACGAGGGCGGGGTGGTGGTGGTAATTACTATATATTTCGCCTCTGTCCACCTGGCCCAGGACCGCCCAGACCACCCGCCCTGCACCCTGGCCCGCGCAGGACTGGAGAACCCCTCCTTCTTGCCATCCCCCTTGGCACCAGCTGGCGCTGTCCCTGCAGTTCCCGACCCGCGGCGGTGGAGTCCCGAGGTTGGGGTGCGCGCGTGCGTGTGTGCACGCGGGCGCGCGCCGAATGAACAACGCGCTCCCATCCTTGCCCCCAAACCCGGTACTCAGCCCCAGGAGCACAACACGCCCTGACACAGGCAACACACACATGCACACATGCATCCAGCACGCAATCCAGCGGCCACCCCAATAAACTGAACACCGCCACCAACCCAGCAAGCCCGCTGCTGGACTGTACACACACTCCCGGCTTCTCTCCGAGGATCCCCCAAACCTCCTTAGCCACTCTGCCAGACCCCCGCCCCGCAACAGCGCACACCCAACATGCACTTTATGGGGCAACCCCCCCCACCCCCCCCACACTCTGGCGCTAATCCCACAGGATGGCAGTGCATGTGAATGATCTTGAGACATAACTGTTAACAGAATTGTTCACAACCAAAAACCCTCTGGAGGCATCCCAAGCCCCCCGGTCTCGTCTTCCCTGCCTTGGCCGCCTGCCGAAGGGGAAGGGCGGGAGGCTCACCCCATTACTCACCGTTTCCTCTCAGCCTCCCGAGCCAAGTGGGCAAGTGAGCCGAGTGAGAAAGAGGAACGCTGCCCCGCCGCCGGGCTCCTCACCGGCCACAGCGGCTCATGGCCCCCGCGGGCTGCCCGCCGGCCGCAGCCGCGTCCCGGGCATCTCAGTCCGCCGCCGCCGCCGCCCGCCCGCCGGGGCTCAAGGGCTGGCAGCTGTCAGGGAGCTGCGGGGCAGAGCATCTGGAGCGCGAGGTCTGGGCGGCAGGGGACAGGGGCCCGGGAAGGGGCCTTCCGCGCCGATTGCAGGAGCGGGTACAGCCAGACCCGGAGCGCGGGCGAGGCCCGAAGTTCCGGCCGCCGGCGGCGGGGATCCCTGCCAGGAGGGGCAAGAACGCGAGCAGCCCAGAGGGCGCGCCCTGGCGGCTCCGAGGGACCCCGGGTTGGGCTCGCAGGCGGGGCGCCCGGGCTTTCCCGGGACTGGAGCGCGCCGCTCTCCGCCTCGCACGCAGTCACCGCGGGAGACGTCTCAGCCTCGCCGCGCGCGCAAAGGGGACGCGTTGAGGGACTGGTTTCTGGGCGAGCCGAGAGCTTTGCCCATTAAGCTGCCGCAAGAAGCCAAATCAAAAAACCAATCTCTAAGCCTCCAAACGGCGCGTCACCCTATCAGCTGGGAGAGAGCGCCGCACCGATTGACAAGCCGCGCATATTCAGCCTCGCGCACCGAGGGGGGTACTTTCAGATAGCTCCGGCACGCAGCAGGGACGCCGAGCCTGCACCGCTCGGCGTCCAGAGAGCCCCCGAGGACCGGAGAGAGATGGCACGCCCTTCCCGAGGCCACCAGCCCGGCCAGTGGAGCCCGGCGCCCTGCGCCTCCCTGCCCGCAGCGGTTCCGAGACGGCAGCACGTCCTGACCTGGATTCCCCGGAGTCGGGAGCTCCAGGCAGCAGGCGGGCACGCGGCCCCGGCTTTCCCCTTGTCCTCAGGAGACGCCGCCTGCAATTCCGAAATTAAGTCTCCACCAAACACATTTGTGGTTTTTAAATATAGAAAAGAACGATTACCCAGGCAGGGTCCACCCAGGCCGAGGGGAGGAGTTGAGGGGGCTGGAGGCTGGCAGTGGAAGGAAAATAAAACTGCTTTTTCCCTCCGTACCAGCGCCCCCCCCCCCTTGGTGCAGAACTCAGCCTGTCATTTTCTCAACCCAAGTCAAACAACAGCTTGTGAGAGACGCTTGGGTGAGCGCTGGTATGTTGGCTTTTTGGGTTTTTAAAACTAAAAATAAAAGGGGGCTGCCTCCCAAATTGCTGCTTATTCTGGGCCTGGAGACTGGCGGAGAGATGGCCCTTTGAAGCAGCAGCAGAACACGGGTTTGGGGCTTGGCCCAGGCAAAGTGTACACAGACAGCCTTAAATCAGATGCCTGTAATTTCTGCTATATTTGTCAGGGTTGGTCCTGGAGGCAGGAGGGGTGGGAGGCCTCTCGTTAAGAATGGGGTTTCATGTCCCTAGTTTATCGGTGGCATTAAGACAGCACTAAAAAGAGCACACAATGGCTGGCCTTATGTATCAAAACCAGGGCAACAGGGACAAAATACAAAGGCCAGAAGTTGTTTTTGTATGTTTCCCCTACCTGAAGCCACGAGTGGGGGGGGCCAACAAATGATAGTAATACTTATTTATCAGCACCTGCTTAGACTAGGCGTGGTGATAGTGAATTTGGATGTATTATCTCGTGTCATCCTCATAAGATGCTATTCAGGTACAATTACTATTTCCATTTTTCTATTGAGGAAATGAAGCTGTAGAGAGGTTAAATAATCACCCCAAGGTCAGCGCAGCAGAGTCAAGGATGAGAATAAGGTGGAATCAACTGGAATTGACTGATATAGGACAGTTGTGATAGCATTTTTCAGGGTCCCTGCATCCCCCAGAGGGCCTGGTCTCCAACAAGATTTGGTCCAAAGAGGTTAAGTGGGTATAGGGGAAGAGAGCATCGGAGCCTGGGACAATGTGAGTTCTTTTCTAGTGATTTGACTCAACATTCTTTTAGGAAGTTGTGTGGTAGTTTCCACCCTGAGTTTGGGCCCTAGATGTGTTAAATTAGGAGCACTTTCAGGCCCCTGCATCTTTATGGGCCTTGAGTTCAGGTAAATTAAGACTGAGGGATTGCCTTTGTAAGGTTTCAATAACTTTTAAAGCTGTGGAATTTTAGCAAGTGTCAATTAGTGGGATTTACCTTGTATCTGTTCCCATGGAGCACCACAGTGCTGGTTGGACTACAGTCAAGAGCAAAAGATGTCTAGTGGGTGGATAAGTTGGTATAGCTTGTAGGGAGGGCAGTTTGGAAAGATACAGCAAATTCCTTAAAAACAATGTGAGCCCTGTGACTCAGTAATTTTACTGGAAGAAATTTTTATGGCAATAACTAAGGATATTAGTTACAAGGATATTCATGATAGTGTTTATCATAGCAAAAAATTGGAAACATCTAATATTCCAACAGAATCAGTGGAGTAAATCATGTTACACGGACATAAGGATCTATTCTACCACTGTAAACATCCTAATGCGGCATGCTAGGTATTGACATGGAAAGGTTTTCATGATACATTATTGGGGGAGGGAGAAAGAGAGGGAGGAGAAGGAGGGAGGCAGGGAGGGAGAGAACATAGCGTGTGTGTGTGTGTGTGTGTGTGTGTGTGTGTGTGTGTGTGTGTGTCCTGGGAGCATAAAGATACCAAAATGGTAATGGTCATGTCTTTTGGTAAGATTTCTGGTGGTTTTCAAAAAGAAAACTCTTTAGATCAACTTACTAAGGCATAATTTGCATACAAAAAATTTGCCTATTTTAAGTGTGTAGGTTGGTGTGTGTTATAATTCAGGTCCATGTGTTAAAGCTTGCTCCCCAGGAAGGCACTGTTGCGAAGTAGTGGAACCTTTAAGAAGTGATGCCTGGTGGAAAGTTTTGGAGTCACTGAAGATGTGCCCTTGAAGGAGAGGGTGGGACCGCTCTCTCTTTGGCCTCCTGGCCATGGGATGGGTAGTTTTGTCTCACCATGATGTGCTGCCTCATGACAGGCCCAAAACAAACAGCTCAATTGATCATGGACTGGAACCTCCTAAATTGTGAGCCACAATAAACCTTTTCTCTTCATAAATTGTTTACTTCAGATACACTGGCACTTTGGCTTACAAACTTAATTCTTTCCATGATTCTAGTCTCAAACTGAATTGGACAATAACCAAATCAAATTTCTCCATAACGTCAATATTAAACCTAACCATTGAATTTGATTCTGTTCTCATACAATATGGTTTGTGATCAGAATCATGGAAAGAATTAAGTTTGTGAACCGAGGCACCACTGTGTTTGTTATAGTAAAGCAGACTAATGCCATGAGTTTTGGTAAAAGTATACACAAGTAGAGCAAGAAACAAAATCAAGATATAGAACCTTTTTATCTCACTTAAAAGAACTCTCCAGCCCTCTTTCACTTATCCTTTCGTCTCATAATCAACCATTAATCTGCTGTCACCATAGATTAGTCTGGCATGCTCCAGAACTTTCTTTATTTTGCTTATGTATTTATTGATATTTCTTTAATGAATTTTATCTCTTCACTAAACTACAACAGTGAGGACAATAATAATAGAATTAGTCTTGGCATTTCTTTAGAATAATCACCAAAGAAACAATACAGAAGCCACATTTTTGTCTCATCACCTGTGACAGGGCATGGCTGCATAGGAAGGCAGTAGGGGAAGGAGATGCCAAAGCATGTTCAGTCATTGCTGTAGGAAGAGCTGGTTTGTGTGAATTCTAGTTCAGCTGAAATAACAAAACCCACCTCCACTCTCCACGTCTCAATGTCCTCATTAGTAAAATAGAAATAATAACAATAATACCCATCACATGAAGTTATTGTGAAGATTCAGTAAGATTGGATTCTGGTATAGAGTAATTCCCAAATGCATGTTAAGTCTCTTCCTTCCTCTCCACCCTTTCTTCCCTCTAACTGTGTTTCTCTCCTATTCTAAGTTCTACAAACAAATTTCATATGGTGACAATCTTAGACTCTTTTGAACTCTGGACAGTCTCAATTTTTCTTTCTCTCTTTGCTACAAGGATAGTGTTGGAAAATATTAAATTTGTTGACCATCTGCCTTCTACTTCTGCCACTGTGTGATCATTTATTTCCAGTTGTGCTAGAATTCAAGAGGGTTTTCATGGGAAAGTCAGAAAGCAAGCTATTTATTGTCAGCATTGGGAGAAAGAGCCATAAACCTCTCCTTCAAGTTGGGATTCAACTTGGGCCCAGAGAAGTTAGGAGATTCAACTCCATCACAGAACTTAGCAAGGAATAGACAGAATCTGTTAGGGATTCAACTGTGCGTCCCAAAATTCCTTTGTTGAAACTCTGATGTCTACTACTTTAGCATGTGATTGGATTTGAAAATAGAACTTTTAAAGTGAACATAAAATTGAAACAGGATAGTGAGGATGGGCCTAGATCTAATATGACTGGTGTCTTTATAAGAAGAGGAGATTAGGACACAGACAGATAAAGGGACAATCTTGTGAGGACACAGAAAGAGGGGTCATTTGCAAGCTAAAGAGAAAGAAATCAAAAGTGCTCACATCTTGAACTTGGACTTTTAGCTTCCAGAACTGTGAGAAAATAAATTTCTGTTGCTTAAGCCACCTAGCCTATGGTATTTTGTTGCAGTAGCCTGTGTTAGTCTGCTTTGTGTTACTGTAACAAAATGCTTGGGATAATCAACTTAGTAAGGGAAAGGGTTTATTTTAGCTCATAATTTCACAAGCTTTAGTCCATGGTTGGCCCTGTTGTTTTGGGTCTGTGGTGCTGCAGTACATCGTGGCAAGAGCATGTGGCAGAGGAAGTCTATCTCATGGCAGCCAGGAAACACAGAGAGAGAGAAGAGGGGGAGTGGGGAAGGATCAGGGGTCCCAGTGTCCTCTTCAAGAGTATGTCCCCGTTGACTTAACTTCCTCCCACTCGGCCTCACCTCTTAAAGGCTCCATCACCTCTCCATATGACTACAGGCTGGAAAACATGCCTTCAACCATCTCTCAATATTACTACTGGCAGGCAAC